TCATTTCGTCTTTTTATTTGGGCTATAATTTCCCTTAAAAAGATTTCATTCACCCACGATAATTCCTTTTCATGGTTTGATGCATGGATTTGGAATCCATTCCGATATCTAAGGCCCATCAATATTTATACATATAATTAATTTGAATATTTTATAGATTTTTTTTATTTGCTTTTCTTCTAGTAGACAGGACGGAACTGCTTGATGCTTTCTAGAGAAAATATAAATTCGTCAATTTTTAATTTTGTAAGTTTGGGATATTTTAATAGTATATTTTTAAATAAAAGTAAAATATCTGAATCGAGCGACATTTGTAAATATTTACCTTACATACAAGTGTCTTCATGAATTTGCCTCCAATTTTTTGAAGAAAGGTATGGGGTAGGCATCCACGGGGGAGTGGGGTTAAGTAAAAGTAAATACGATTTGTGTATTAAAAAAATATAACTGATAAAAAATTTAAATTTATTAATAAATATTTAATTCATTCATTTATAAATAACATTTTAGTACAGTTTGCAATTATATACATGTTGATAGCTAATATTTATATTAATGTTGGGATGGGAGTAACTAGTTAATTATCACCAACTAATAATTATTTGTTATTTCTGTTCTAATTAGACCTGAAAGAGTTTATTTAGAATTGCTTTAAGGTTATAAATAAATATTATATGATATTTTTTTATTATCTGGTTTGTTAGAGCAGAATGGGTGAGTAAATATCGAAGCAGACGCTCGCGAAAATTATTTAGGAGGGTAGGGATAGATTTTGAAGGGCGTTTGCTACCAATGAATATTCTGTCATATAGACTCTGCCTGCATAATATTTCATCATTGTCGACATGTTCCTAACTGATTTATTTTTTTTATATATCAATCAATCAATAAAAAATTTTTTAATTGGCACAGAAGAACCTGATAGAAAAATTATCTCAATGTATTATTTCTTTCTTGGTAAATTATAACTAACAACCTACCTATATGAAAATTTCAAATTCCTATTTGAACATTTCAAAGATTTTAAAATTGAACTATTTTTTTGTAGTGTTGTTAAATAGGCTAAATCCCAATAATCTAAAAATTCAATCCTTGAGGCCAGAATATATTTATTTCAAGGTGAACTATCCTTTAAGTTTAAACCACGAACGTGGCTAAGATGATAGTTTTCACTTAAAAATTCGGTTTTGCCTTTTTAGAGTTAGCTCAAAACTTGCTTAAAAAAGGAAGTTATCACCCCTACTTATTGGTGATGAACCGAACTATAAACTTTAAGGACTTATAAAAATAATGAAAATAAAAAATTTAAAAATGTGCTTCTATATCTTTTATAATTTATGTAGCTATAAAAAAATAAGAAAAAGATGTTTGATAATATAAAAATTTTAATAAATTATAACAATATAAGGAGAAAAGGGACTCAAATTTAACTATAAAATAATATTCAAAAAATTTGGTGGGGGCTAAGTGCAATGCACACCTGATAGCAGTGCTCGCAAGTAGTGTTTTTAAACGGCTCGATTCGATCCGATTTTTAAAACGACGAACTTAATATTTTATCCAGAAAAATATTAGACGAGATTTTACTCATAGATGGTACAACGATTTGAACATTTATTAGTAAAATTTCGAGGCTTTGGTAAATTTTTCTGGCTAAAATATTGAGTTAGCTGTTTTTAAATTAACTCAAATCTAGTTGTTCATTCAATCACACACACCTCGCAGGCCTAGATAAGATGAATACACAAGTCGATAATCGATCGGACACCGAATTCCAAATTTTCCAGTAGAAGTGAAAAGTGTAACTTAAAGGTCAAAACGTATATTAGCTATTTTTTCCATTATTTCTTTTATTTTTAACTCATATGTTTTGACTCTGGTAAATTTGAAAATAGCAGTGGATCTTAAGGTAAAGAGGATATATTAAAAGTCTTTTATTAGGAAATATGCCATTTTTCAAAGTATTTTAGGCTATGTAAGTTTTTATAAATTATTGTTTGATTGCACCCGTAACACAATAAAAAAGTTCATACAATGATATTAGTCCCTTCGTCTTTTAATATGCTGTAAGCTGTTGCGATCCACTAATAATTCCGTCATCAATGTACCACACATGGTGACTAAGCATACAGTTAATTTTTATCTCTACAGTATAGCAATTAAGACCTATACAAAATAAAAGAGAACCTATGCCCCTCCCCCTTGCTAAATGCCTTTAGCAGATGATAGTTTGGTCTACTAATTGTAGAAGAAAATGAATTTGGTAGAAACTGATTATGTAATTGCATAATTTGGAAATCTTCTAATGAATTCGGTGTAATAGCATTCAGGAGAGATTATTCTGGAAATATATTCTAGCAGCATGAGCAGCGCTTCGCAAGCACTTTTTTACCATCACCTAGCTGCTTGGGTGTAAGAAGCATAGAAGTAACATCTGAAAGCCGGGTTGAGATGACTTTGGCGGTGAGTTTTTACTATTCCTAAGGTAAGTCTTTATTGGGTTAAATGAGAGCAATTACTTTGGCTACAAATTATATCGGGCGGGCTAGTTTTTAAATAAAATTCTTGTTTTTGTCTTCAATAATATATGTATATTTAATATAATAATTATGAGACAAAATAAAATATTTTATTATATCTTAATAAAGCGTTTAATATCATCATCCCAAAAATAATGATATATTAGTCATTTTTGTTAAAATTTAGGAGTTTTATGAGAATTTTAGCAAATCCGACTCGATGCGCCTCACCTCACATTTTAATTATAGTCTATGTTTAAATAATCCCTTAAATGCATTTTTATTTATTTATGATACTTATAGAACTTCATTTCTCAAAATCATAATACTCATAAACTTAATTTTGGTTAATTTAATAAACATGTTGAACATATAAAAAAATTCTCGAAGTTGGAACCTGCACCATGTGCCCATCCTTGGCACATTCTACATTGTTATCACTCTTCACTGTTATGATATTTTATATAATTCAGTTTACAACAAAGAAAAATAATATCTTTGTAAATAATACCAATTTTTTCTTGCAAATATTCATTTTCTATCTCTTGTAATATATCATAAAGTTTAATCTAGGAATACCTAAAATAAACATGCATTCATCATAATTTTAATCATATGTTAAAATATAACAACTTAAAATTTACAAATTACATTTAAAAATAATATATAAATAACATTTTAATTTCTTTACCATTACTATTTGATTTTTATTTACATCTCTATAATTAAATATCGCTAAAATTTGTAATGTTTAAAATTACAATTTTAATCATATCCATATGTTAAAATATAAGAACATAAAATTTACAAATTACATTTAAAAATAATATATAAATAATGTTTTAATTTCTTTATCATTACCAATTAGATTTTTATTAACATATTCTCTATTATTAAATAAGCTAAAATTTGATTATATTGTTTAAAAATTACATAAAATTATTATGATTATATCTTAAAAACAACACAGATAATGTAGATAAATTTACCTGTTGGTTGGCTAGTGAATCTTGTTGATTTACAATCTTCATTAATCTAATTACATTATAATATCAATTCATCAAATTTTGGTATACTTCTAGATAATCATTAATATACTTTTGTAATTTTATTGAATTCGTATTTTAATACCATATTGAATAGTTAACAATTACTAAAAAATCATTCAAATGGATTGACATGTATGGCTTAACAAGCCCCACTAGCTCTAAAATTACTAATCATGATTGAAATAATATCTATAAAACTTTCTCAAGTTTTAAAAGAGTGTTAAAACCTTGCTATATAATTTATTATATATAAATGATTACATATTTTAATAAAAATTAAAATTATGTATTTAAAATTTTTTTTATTTTTTATCAAATTTTATTTCTTGAATAAAATTTTTAATAATTAATTATTTCAAAAGAATTTTTGTCTATCGATGCAAACTAATAAAAGCTATTAGGATAGAAATTTACTGGTGTATTTAATTTTGAAATGAGAAGTGGTTTGCCAAGACCCAAAGTATCTAACCTCAGTCTCCTAAATATTACCTAAATTATTCCTATAATTACCTAATAGAAAATTAACCCTTAATTAGTTTATTTCTTAGCAAAAATAAAGAAAGTACACATTACAATCATAAGTCCATATAAAACTTTCACCCATCTCTCCTGACACTTAAAATATTTACATTAATTAAAATTATATCTTATGGGTTTTTTAAAAAAAATATATTAATTAAAATAAAATGATATCATGATAAATATACTATAACCAAGAATAAGGAACAATTACCTTCACAACAATATTTTCTAAAAATATTTGCCACTTGGTAAGATTTTGGGAAAAATCTTAAATATATTTTACAGTACCCCAGCAAAAGATTTGTCTAATAGAACATTAAATTAGCTAGAATATACAGCAAGCGAAATTAATACCAGCTTCACCAATGCAACCATTTTATACATGGTTAGAATATTAATGTTACAATTTATATACATTTAATTAAAGTTAAACTAGTTTTTGGTTGATTTATATAAATCTATTTCGATTTAATTTTTTATTCTATACTATTCTAAATATTAATACAAAAATTTTGTAAAAATATATTATAATTTAAATATAATATAATTAAATATATATATTTATAAACAATTCGTGCAAAGAGGTTTAAATAATAATTTCTTTTATAATAAATATCACATTTTAAAGATTTTTTTTTTGCATTAAATTCTGGATAATATCTTTTCTGTAATTTTTTAAATTATGACTGGTGGTCGATCATCTATAATTCATATAAAATACAACTATATTTAATTATATTTAAAAATATTTTTTTTACTATAATTATTTATCATACAACTATTACCAATATGTTTTTCTATGGTAGGCAGGTTAAAATAATTCGAATGTGAAGATTGTAAATGAAGATTATTGCTAATTTTGTCTATGTCTCTACAAAAGGTGAATTTAACAACGATAATAAAAATATTTTTATAACTTTTCTACTTCTTGAAATTTTATACATTGGCGAAATCCTTTGGCGAAAGGGTTACTGTCAATTTTTAATTTTTTTATCTGAATAATTAAACAATTGGAAAATATTAGTATATAATATAAATTGTCTGCTAAAATATTAGCTTGGCAGATAAGTTTTATTTATATTGGTCAAAATTTGTCAGTATATAGGTCAAAATTTGTCGGTATAAAAAGATATATTTAAAATCAGAAAAAGTTTGATTAAAATAACTGATAATTTTTTAAATAAATAAAAAACTCAACCTTTTTATTTTTCATAAACCTTATTGAACTTTTTCTATTGCCAGAGATCTTTGTTTATCTGTTAATGAAAATTTTTTCCAGGAAAACTTGCTCATGGAAGCAGAAAACCCTATTATACACTTATTTCACATTTCCCCTTTGATTCAAAGTGTCCATAATCTTGATTCTTGACATACAAACATGGAGGAATGCCGACACTTTCAAAGCTATTCAGAGAGAAAATTTTATGGGGTTCTACTACTATTTACACAAGTTGTATATATAGATCTTGTAGCCTTCCAGTCATGCAGAATAATGGGAGTGGGGTGGGGAATTTAAATTGTACCAAAGTTGGCAGTTCCCATATATATATTGCAATTCGATAGTTTATTTTTGTCAAAGATTTACAACAGCATCATCATTTTTCATTCTTTTTAATAGAAAAGAGTGGAGTTAGGTGTTTGGATTTTAACGATCAAATTTTATTTTTATTATATAAAAGTAAATTAATTGTATCACTGGATAACCTCGTCATTAAACTACAAAATAAATAAAATCGAGCATTATATACTGTGAGGGCTATTTCGGATTAAGCAAAAGTCGTGCTAGTGCTTATTACTATTTGCCAACGGCCCTGGGTAATGGCAAGTCTTTCGGGATAGGATAATATCAAATTTAACCCATAAAACACAAAAAAATCATAATTATAAATATTTTAAAAAAATTAATCAGAATAGATTATTTACGGTACAAATAAAATACACCCATTCAGAGCAATTAGTGCGTTATATTAAATCTTCGTGCTTTTTACTGAGACACTACCTCCCTACCAAAAAAGCCCAACCTCCACCTCTCCTTCAGGTTTCAAATAAATTCTATATTAACAATAAAAGGAGATCTAAACTATCAAAATTAGCTTTAAAAAAACCATCTCGTTAAGAACGGCTCAGTGTCTATATACAAATATGTTTTGGCATAAAATGTAAAGAAAATCAATAATATAAATGCCAATTCAAAAAAGAAATTCAAAATTTGAAAATTTCTTATTCCTTTTTTAAATAGTTTTTAAAAGAATATTCATCAGAAAAAAAAATATTATATTTAACTAACCATCTGGTTTTGATATGCCGTGACCGCCATAAATTGAGTTTCTTTAAAAATATAGGATTTACTATTACATCTGGAAGGGGAATTATCCTCTTGACACAACATCAAATGTATAATGGGCTGATATTTATGCATCGAATTCAATATAAACTAAAATTAAAAAATATAAATCCCCTTATTTATCTATTTTATGGAGAAATTTTTAAAACCTGTCCTTCCGAAGCGATTTCGTTGTTAGTCAGTTTAACTTTTTCGAATGAGAATCGTTGTTTGACTAATTGTTTACCGGTTAGAGGTGGACCAGAGTAAATAAGTACAACCTCCTTATTTGCCGGAGTAGGTTTGTTGATCCTTTTGCCAGATATTAACCAACCAGCTATATTGTAAGAATATCTGTATCTTATGTTATCAACTCGTTTCATCTCCAAGCCAACGATAAATTTTGCATTAGGATCTATATTAGAAGCGCTAAATCTGACTTTTATAGTCGGAAACATTCTTCTTTATATATTATTAGTATTTTTTTTATTGTTATAACTATATAAATATTAAAAGAAAATTTGAAGGGAAGTGGGGGGGGGGGGGTTATATCAGGGGAGACCGGGGTTATATTATCCATCAAAAATTGATGAAGCAAATTCAAAATATTTAAACGTAGTTTTATTCTTTACATCTATTTGCAGAAATTAATATTTTAATGAAAAACACCCGGGGTAACTGTTAATCTTTCACGGTGCGTGTTATTGTGCCTCTTATTTTGTAGATTTTTAAAAAAATCTTAAGTAAATAAATAAAAATACCTTGTCAAATATGTTAAATGTACCAGATTCTTCCATATTATCTATTTCAACCGGAAGAACTTGTTGTCACTTAAAACTGTCATAATTTACGAAAATTAAGTCAAGGGTCTTTATATTGCCTTTCGTGACCTTAGAAAAATTTGAGGCTGATGTTCATATAAATCTAGTTGAATTTTTTCAATAAAGATTAATCCCTGCTTAGAAATGGCTAATATGCAACCCACCAAAACCTCTCCCAGGTCTTTACATTTAGTAAAATTTAGTTTTAAATATTAAATTACCATTGTCAATATTTATATGTGTGATAAAATTGAGATTATTTTGTCATTATGCATTGATATTTGGTCTGAGCAACTTTAATAAAAAATTTATTTGTAAAAATGTAAAAATTAAATTGAAATTTCATTTAAAACTTTTCATGAGCATATTTCTTCGGTGAAAAATTTTTAGAACCATTGAAGCGTCTTATTAAAATATATTTATGTTTAAATTTCAAATATCAAAATTTATTAATTTTAAAATTATTTGAGAAAAAATTATCTGCTTCAGGGATATAACTATTCCCAGTCTCCCCTACTTTTATACCCCATTTTTGGTTTTTTAAGATTTCATGTTAATGTTGGCAGTTCACAAAAAAAACAGGAAAATTAATAAATTATTGAGAGGTTTATTAAGCATTTTTAAAGTATAAAGATTTAGAATAATAATTTAGAGCACACTAATTTCTCAACATGAAACACGATAAGAAATATTTATGCCTATATATAATTTTCTTTATGTGATTGCAAAAAATTTTTGCTAATAACTATTGTTTTAAATTTTGGACCTTATTAAAATTAAAATTCTAAACAGTAACATAGCCAGGTTAAATTAAACTTTAAAAAAATAATTATTCTTGCCATTTCTGATGTTTGGGGGAAAAGAAAAATGATAATGCGGTTTATTTGGATTTAAATATATTTATAAAACCTCCCAGTTTTCATAATTATCATTTCTGTGCCGATTTGATGGAATTTTCTCCAGAGGCTAGCTGATTCTAAACTACATTTCATTCCTTCTAACTTTTTATCATGGATATTTGATTTTCGCCATAAATTTGATTTTTTTTTAAAGGTTTGGAAATAAACTTCATTTTTTTTCGGTGTAAGTAAGGATGTCATAAAATTTTCTTTCAGTATTTTTTTATTATCTGGAAATAAATATTATATAAAACAATTTTTCTTTAATTTTAATTTGTTGATATAGCAAAATAATAAAAATGCCGCTGATGGCTAATGCCCTGTTTTATCTAATCTGATATCTGGGATTGGATGAAAACTATTATGCCTCCTTCTTTTTTTTCAATCTTCAACGTAGGTCTCTTCTTTTCCATCATTTTCCTTTTTAACCATCATCAATCCTTTAGCTATCTGATCTTTAAATATTAAAAGGGATACATGTTTACTATTTTTCTGTTTCATGTGGCGTCTATAGAGCAACCATGAATTCACTACACAGGAATCTAATAAATGAAAGAATACTCGCATGTAAAAACGCTTCCATTTTATGTCAGTTCTGTAGAGTTTAATTAACATATCATGGAGATCCACCCCGCCCATACCACGGTTATAGTCTTGAATTATGGCCGGAATTTTGACATTGATAAAAGATTTATCAGACACTGACCATCTTCTCATTCGTGATATGGGATGTATACCCATAAATGATGATATGGTGATTATAGATCTGCAAAGTTAGGCCCAGCCCGTACCCGGGCCTAATTCTATTTAAAATAATTGGGTTCGGGTCGGGCCGGGCCTACTATTTTTAAAAAAAATTTGGGCCGGGTCGGGCCGGACCTTAGAATTTTTTTTAAATATATCTAAATTTATCAATTTTGTATTGAATTTTTTATGTAAAATAAAAATATTTGATTTTATTTATAGAAATTAAACGACATATAACATATGTTTTTTATTTTGAGTAAATAAAAAAATTAATTTATATATTTAAATAAATTCGGGCCGGACCGGCAAAACTTTTTTAAAAAAAATTTCGGGCCGGGCTTGATAAATTAGGCCCGATGGAGATCACTAATGGTGATAACTGATTTGTTATCAAACCATTTGCAAATTATAATGTTATTAGAATCCACTTTATAATCATGGGACCCTCTTCCTTTTTCCTTTAAGATTTTATCATCAACCAGATGGCATTTCGATAATCGATTAGATCTAAGGGTCCCCGACATGATAAACCCATTATCTTTGAGCGCAGCTGCTAAATTATATAAAGAAAAAAAGTTATCCATGTAAATTTTATAATTTTTATGTGGGGGAACAGTTTCTAATAGTCGTATAACAATATCTCCGCTAATTTCCATCAAAGTTTTTTTTATATTTGTGGATTTTCCTAAATATATTTCGAAATCCTATAGCATTCCAGATGATCCACATAAAGCGAAAATTTTAATTCCCCATTTATGCGGTTTTGAGCTAATATATTGTTTAAATTTATCTCCCTCTGGTATAATATATATTTAGGTCATCTAAAAATTATTTATAAAAATTTAAAAAAAAAGTGTTATAAAAACAATTCCCATTTTCTTAACTTTTTGAAAATATTATAGTAGCTTTATAAATGGAAAATAATCTATATTCAATTCTTACTATATCATATTTTCAATATCTAATTTTAAAAAATTTATGAAAAAAATTACATTATAAAATCCTAATGTTACCAATTTGGATTTCCTCCAAAAAATCATATAAACAATAGTCATTGTTAAATTTTTTTTACTAAATATGAAATACTAGTAATAATTTTTTATAAATTCATTATATACCTTTGATTTATATATATTTATATAGAATGGTTATCGATGTAAAAGTGTAAAAATTTAGGCGCGTAAAATACCTAACTTTGAACTTGTATTTTGATATAATAAACTAATGATTTTGACAGGTTAATGATAAAATACGAAATAATAAATATTGTTTTGTAAATTCATGTGTCTAAGTAGCAACCATTAGTTTTTTAAATATAAATATTAATTGATTAAAAAATTTGATGACAAATGACCTCGCTGGGCGCGAAAGGGTGACAAAAAAGTTTAAACCCAAAAAAATTTAAAATGCAAACCGGCCAACGGTCTGCAATAAGTAGATCTAAAACCCTTCAGCAAATTTATTCGGATAAAACCCACTTAATGGTACCCCAATAGCAAAAATCTTGGCTACTTATTTGTATTTTAGCATAGGCACCTTCCTTCATAATAATTAATGAAAGAAGATTAAAACACCCATTGAATATATTTGAATATAAAAAAATTTTTTTAATATAAAATTAGATTTAATTTTATGAAAAAAAAAGAATACAATTTATTAGTTATCTTAATCTAATATAATTAAAGAGAAATTGTATTCATTTAATTTACGGAATTCATTCTAAAATTAAATTAATTTTAATTAATAAAATAAAATAAAATAAAATTTAGATATATGTTAGCAGCAATGTACTATTTTCTCAACTTTCAATCATTTTTTGAGCGTGTTTTTTAAAAGAATCTGATTTTACAGGAATTGCATTCTATTATGTTTGCAATATACCTACCCTATGAATTTCAAACAATTCTGCCATCTCAATATAATTTATATTAGTTTTTCCATAGATTATTCACATTAAATGACTCGAAGATTAACGGTAAGATTATCTACAATCCTAATTTAGGTATTCTAAATATGCTGGAATACATCTTCGTTAAATTTAAAAAAACGCGCAAATGATATAAAGTTTAAAAAAATAACACAATGCCGGAAAAATGTTTAGAATTGTGAGCCATCATTAGTTAAAAAATTTGTAGTTAAAAATTTTATTAATTGATGATATAAGGATTTCCTTATGGGAGGGGGGGGGGAACGCTATTAGACGGGGTTTTCCGCTATAAATTTTATTGGAGGTCTTTAGGTCCACTAATTGTAGGCCTTTAGCTATATTATATATTTTATAAAAATAATTTTGGGTTTTCACTTATTTTCTTATAAATAGATTTTTTTTTAAAAAAATTTGAATTATATAGTCGTTATTTAAAAAAATTATTATCATTTTCACTAATTTTTCTTTCAAATTTTTATAATGATATCTTGTATACATTTTTGGAGAAAATGGGGGTGTAGGGGGGGGGGGGGTAATGTTTATTAGCTTAAAATGATATTTACGAGAAGAGACAAATTTGAGGTGCCCGGATGGATCACGATTCTAAGTATATCTACAATATATAAATTTTATATTATTAATTAAAATAAACTAATTTAATCTTACAATCAATTCCGTAAAACATATGAATATCTTATCTCTGTCTAGAACTTCATCATTATATAAAATTTTTACAAGAATTTTGTTGAGTGTCTTTCATAAAACAATCATAAATCTTATTTATCGCATCCAAATTATCTGATAGTTTCCAACTACACACATTTTGTTTTGAGTCATTTGCCTTAGAACTTATGTTGAAGAACGGGTAATAAAAAATTTCATGATTCATTGAATCATTTTCGATAGACCTTGTGTTACGGAAAGGGCAATACAATATATTGGAGTTAATATTATTTGACAAAATAGGTTGCAAATTTTCTTCTCTGCAATTATTTCTAGGTGTCGCACTAATCGTACTTTTTGTAACTGATGATGGATGATTATAAAATTGTGATGTCGTTAGTTCATTATGTTCAACAGATTTAATTTTATCATCTTCGGAGTAAACGTTCCCAAATATTAAAGATTCTATAAGGAAGGAACTAGATTTAGTGGTCATTTCTTTTTTTGGATATAAAATAATTACATTATTTAAAATTGATACTAATATAATAATAATTTTTAAAATTATATATATATATATAAATGTATGTTAGAACTCAACTTACAAAGGAAAATTATTTATTTTTTTTAAAAAAAAATTATTCTTTAAATTATGTTTGATAAAAAATGTCAATCAATTTGTCAACATTCAATAATTTAAAATATAGCAAAATGTAGAAATTAAGAAGGGAAAAGAAAAGAAAAGAAAAGAAAAGTAAAAGAAAAGAAAAGAAAAGAAAAGAAAAGAAAAGAAAAGAAAAGAAAAGAAAAGAAAAGAAAAGAAAAGAAAAGAAAAGAAAAGAAAAGAAAAGAAAAGAAAAGAAAAGAAAAGAAAAGAAAAGAAAAGAAAAGAAAAGAAAAGAAAAGAAAAGAAAAGAAAAGAAAAGAAAAGAAAAGAAAAGAAAAGAAAAGAAAAGAAAAAGAAAAGAAAAAAGAAAATAGAAAGAAAAGAAAAGAATAGAATAGAATAGAATAGAATAAGAATAAAATAGAAATAAAATAGAATAGAATAGAATAGAATAGAATAGAATAGAATAGAATAGAATAGAATAGAATAGAATAGAATAGAATAGAATAGAATAGAATAGAATAGAATAGAATAGAATAGAATAGAATAGAATAGAATAGAATAGAATAGAATAGAATAGAATAGAATAGAATAGAATAGAATAGAATAGAATAGAATAGAATAGAATAGAATAGAATAGAATAGAATAGAATAGAATAGAATAGAATAGAATAGAATAGAATAGAATAGAATAGAATAGAATAGAATAGAATAGAATAGAATAGAATAGAATAGAATAGAATAGAATAGAATAGAATAGAATAGAATAGAATAGAATAGAATAGAATAGAATAGAATAGAATAGAATAGAATAGAATAGAATAGAATAGAATAGAATAGAATAGAATAGAATAGAATAGAATAGAATAGAATAGAATAGAATAGAATAGAATAGAATAGAATAGAAGATAGAATAGAGAGAATAGAGAATGAGAATGAGAAGAGAAGATAGAAGAGATAGAATAGAATAGAATAGAATAGAAGAGAAGAGAAGAGAAGAGAAAGAAAGAAGAGAAGAGAAGAAGAAGAGAAAGAAAGAAGAGAAGAGAAGAGAAGAGAAGAGAAGAAGAAGAGAAGAGAAGAAGAAGAGAAGAGAAGAGAAGAGAAGAGAAGAGAAGAAGAAGAGAAGAAGAAGAAGAAGAGAAGAGAAGAAGAAGAAGAAGAGAAGAGAAGAGAAGAGAAGAGAAGAGAAGAGAAGAGAAGAGAAGAGAAGAGAAAAAATGAAATGAAATGAAGCCTACATATATTGAAAACATGCCTTATTTTATCAGCAAAAAAAATTCCAGCAAGCGAGAATAAAATTTTTTTTATCAGGTCTAATAAAGGTTAAAGAAATCCCCCAATCAAAAGGTAAAAAATAATTTTCGTTATAAAATTCGTCAAAATTTATATTCGAATTATATTTTACCTACATTTTTGTATAATGAATAGAAAATATGTTAAATTATCGGGCAGTATCATATAATGTTCCACGGCATCATACCAGCGTTATACTAGACTCTATGCCTTTTCAATCATAAAATGCTAAAGTCGCCTAAAATTAGTTTTTTGCAAAAGGAAGTATGGCTTCGTTGTTATTATTACATTTCAATTTTTTTTTAAAATGAGTTTCAGAAATAGAAAGACCAAATTTATTTAATTAATATTATGCGTTTATAACAAAGCAGTTATAATATAAAGTTTGAAATATATCTGACAATTATTCAAAATAACTATTCAAAATGGAAAAATAATAATCCCTGGGTTATAAGTCGGTGATGCTAAGCCCGAAAC